CTGGCAATAGGTGCAGCTTTTTCAACATCAACGTACGATGGCATTAGCACAGCACTTGCTATATTCTGTGAGGAGTTGCCTCATGAACTTGGTAAGTATAGACCAGGGATTCTTTCCCTTGAGTTTTACTCTCTTGTTTATCAGAAATGATTTTTGAAACCTGATAAGCAATAGTGTTCCTAAGGGAATGATATGTGGCCTGAAATGGTAAAGCATTACTCCAAGCTAAATGATTCTTTCATTTATCTTTTTCTCTAGGTGATTTTGCAGTCCTTCTCAATGCTGGCATGTCTTATAAACAGGCATTATTGTGTAACTTTCTCTCAGCATGTACATGCTTCATTGGTTTGGTTGTTGGACTGTTGCTAGGATACTCAACATCAGCTGTCAAGTGGATCTATGCTCTTGCAGGAGGAATGTTCCTTTACATCTCATTGGTGGACATGGTAAGTATGTGCTGACAATGTTAACCAGCCGACGTGTCAGTCGACAATTGCCTTACTGTCGGCCATTGAACACGGTTAACACTTAGGAACAATATTGACCGACACTTGGCCAATACATCACCAACACGCTGACACATCACCAACAATTTTGGAAACTCACTCTTTCGTATTCATGAAACATTTCAATCCGAGGAGAAATTGCTTGAGCTTTTCTTTTGATGCTCTGCCAAGGTATGGCCAAAAGTTGGGCGATCGATGACCACCAAGCGTCGGCTAGTTATAAAGTAGATGATTATCTCTCTAAAGAACAATCTGTATTGCAACGTTTTAAAAATAGCACATATATCCAACATTATACACTACACTCTTAACACTATCAAATTTGGACTCCAATTATTCTTATTTTTAATTAAATTTTTTCATGATTTTGAATATCTTTATCATTCAAACATGTGTACTTACAGCTTCAAGAAGCAACAGAGATTTCATGTAAAGAAGGTGAAGGATCGATTAAGAAAAACCTGAAGACATTTGCTCTACAGTCCTTTGGAATACTGTTTGGTTTTGTAGTCATGTTAATATTAGCATTATATGCTGAAGGAATTTCAATCTGATGTAAACATTCAACAGCTTTAACAGCATTTAACAGTTTTGCCCCCCTTTGTCCCCCCCCCCCTGGATCCCCCTTGTAGCATAGGTGGCTTAGGCCGCTAACATGTTGTCTTTCACCACTATGGTCTTCCCACTCATCAAAAATGTTTGAGATAATTTAGTTGCAAAACTTTTTCTACTAATAATTATTAGTTATTGAAAGTGATCGACCTACAAGATAAAACAGTGGACATCTTATGTACATGGGAATCATATTCGGCATTAAATGAATTTAAATGAGCAGCAGTAAGGGGGACTCGCGATCACCATTCGGAATCGCCCGGGAATTACCCGTGTTTATGCACTAGCGTCCCCCGCGGGAATTACCCATGTTCTGTTATATGTTGCGCGAAGATTTCCTTACTGCTGCTATGTTTGTGTCGCAAACGGAGGATAAAATATTCCTTAGATATAGATGGACACCATCAA